CCCTTTTCCTGATCTGTCTGCCATCTCCGCCATCCTGTTCTTTACTTCCCACTCCCGGCTAACATGTCCAGTGTGTGCTGACCCGTGGGGCTTCCGTGCTCAGAAGTGATGGTGTTTCCTGCCCTGGGGCCCTGGGGAGCAGCCCGTGCCCTCTGACAACTTTCAGTGTGACTGTCGGGTCTCACCCGTAGGGGCCAGGCAGAGGCTTTGGTTTGCCCCCTCGCTAGCCTGACTCTCACCGTGTTCTCTGCACCGCGGATGCACATCTGTTTCTAGAAGCGTTTGGCCTTGACCTTAAGAGCCGGGGCCACGTGAGCCTTGCCTTGAACTGTTGTGGTCATATGGTAAATCCTATTTTTAATTTTTTGAAGACCTGCCATCCTTGCCTCACTCCTGATCTTTGAGGAAAGGCTTTCGGTCTTTCACCATTGACTGTATTTGCTGTTGGTTTTCATATTTGGCTCTTCCTAGGTGGTGGTGGTGTCCTTCCGTTGCCAGCTTGTTAGAGTTTTTATTATGAAAATGTGTTGAATTTTGTCAAATGATTTTTATTCATCAGCAGAGATGCTCATGTGTTTTCCCCATGATTCCGTTGATGTGACATATTAGTCAGTTTTCATATGTTGAACCATCCTTGCACTCCAGGAAGAAGTTCCATCTGGTCGTTGTTTATAGTCCTTTTTTTTTTTACACTAGGATTTTTCTGTTATATTTTATTTATTCCTGAGAGAGAGACAATGTGAGCAGGGGAGGGTCAGAGAGGGAGACACACAGAATCGGAAGCAGGCTCCAGGCTCTGAGCTAGCTGTCAGCACAGAGCCCGACGTGGGGCTCAAACCCACAACCCACGAACCGTGAGATGATGACCTGAGCCAAAGTCTGACGCCTAACCGACTGAGCCACCCAGGCGCCCCTAGTCCTTTTAATTTAAAGTTGCTGAATGTGTTTTAACATGTTTATCTTACTGTTATTTTGTTGAGGACTTTGCCTCTGTGCTCATAATGGATACTGGGGTGTAGTTTTCTCCTACTGTAGTGTCTTTGGCCTTGGTTCAGGGTCATGCTGACCTCATAGATTGAGTTAGAAAATGTTCCCTCCTCTTCAACTTTTTGGAAAAGTTTGAGAAGAATTGGTCTTAGTTCTTCCTTAAATGTTTGATAGAATACACTGGTGAAGCCATCAGACCTAGGGCTTTTCTTTGCTGTGAGTTTTTTAAAAAATAAAGCTTATTTATTTATTATGAGAGAGAGGGAGAGAGAGAATGTGAGCAGGGGGAGGGCCAGAGAGAGAAAATACTGAGCAGGCTCCGTGCTGTCTGTGAGGAGTCTGATGGGGCTTGAGCTCACGATCCAGATCATAACCTGAGCCAAAGTCAAGAGTGAGACGCGCGACTGACTGAGCCGCCCAGGCGCCCCTGCTGTGAGATGTTTGGTCATTGATTCAATCTCCTTACTAGTCCTAGATTTTCTGTTTCTTTGTGAGTTAGTCTTGGTGAGTCTCGTGTTTCTGGGAACCTGTCCATTTCAATCTAGGGTATTCCGGTGGTTGGCATGTCATTCATTGCTCAGAGCACTCTCTTACAAGCCCTTTTTATTTATGTCAAATCAGTAAGAATGTCCAATTTTATTTAAGTATTCTCCCTTTTTTCTTGGTTTACATAGCTGAAGGGGATAATTTTGTTGTTCTTACCAGGGAACCAACTTTTAGTTTCATTGATTTTCTGTATTTCTGTTCTTCTTTCTTCTTCCTGCTACTGTTGGTATTTGTTCTTTTTCTTCAGCTTGTAAAGGTAGGTCGTGGGCTTGAGAATTTTCTTAGTTTTCGATGCCAGTGTTGGCAGCTCTAACTTTCCCTCAGTACTTGCTTTCACTGTGTCTCCTACGTGTGGGTATATTGCATCTTCATTTTCATTTGTTTCTAAGTACGTGCTTTCTCCTCTCCCGTGCGGCCCTTCTCTGACGCCCTGTCTGTGTGCGAGCCTCATCGGTCCCGTGCTGCAGCCGTCCTTGCCGTGGGTCCATCTCGTTGCCTTGCGGGCTGAGGAGATGATTTGCGGGAGATCGTTTGGTAAATTTGCGGTGAGGTGACCTATGGCCTGACATCCGGTCTCTGCTGCAGACCGCGTGTCCCGCTGGGGACCCCGCATCCCGTTGCCACTGTTGGGGCGGGGGGCGCGTTCCACGCGTGTCTTAGATCCGCCCCGCTTACTGGGTTGGGTCCTCTGTTTCCTTCGTCACCTTCTGTCTGGTTGATGCTTGCATTTTAAAATTGTTCAAGAGTTTATATTATTTTGAACAATCTAAATTCAGAATTGGTAGTTTAACCGCAAAAGTAGATCTCGAGTTTTGTTTACTCGAGTCCCCGTCTTTCCTTGTGAAGGTCACCTCCGGGCTGCCTTGCCTCTTGTTTATAGAGAAGAGAGAGAACTCACACTTCTGCTCTTGAGTCGGCCCTGGAGAGGTCCCTTAGCCGGTCACTTAGTCCTAGGCGAGTAGATCTGGTTTTCTGAGAAAGTCGTACAGATGTATTTGTGAGACTTGAGCGCAGGTATTTGGACAAGTGGTGGAGGAACATTCTGGGTTTTGAGCCGGGGTCTTGGACGCACGGACGGCGGTCAGAGGGCACACCTCAGAGAGAGCTGAGAGCTGGACGAGATGCTTCTCAACGAGGGAGGCATTTTGTGGGAGACCAGGGGAGTGGTGGTGTGTCCTGGGCTGGTGCCCCCCACCCCCAGGAGAGGCGGGGAGTGAGTGTTCACTGCAGCCTCGTGGCCGGGGGTCCCTGCACGGATGGGTCAGGACTCCCGCCCCCTCTGGCTCTCACACACCCTCATCCCACCCCATGGATCCACTGGAAACTGCTCAAAGTGGTACCTGCCTCGGGTACCCGGCCCCCCAGCAGCACGGAGGCCGTGCAGAGAGGGGGCAGGAGGGCGGCTTGGCACCCCCTGTTGCTGGCTAGTTTCCAGAGCGCGTTGGCTGTACTCGCTGCCTCAGCACGGGCCCCCACATTGGAGGGGCACAGCGGAGGGTGGCATGGCCCCTGCTCCAGGACGACCCGGCACGCTGGCATCGTCCGGGGCGGCTGCCTCGTCTCCTTCTGGCATCTTCATGAGTGAGGACACAGCTGTACCCGATGTATCTCGGTGTCTTGCAGCATCTCAGTGTTTGGACGGTACCCCCGTTGCAGAGGGGGCATCTTCCTGAATCTTGTGCTGTGACCCCCGGCTGCCTGCTGCCCCGGACGGTTCCCAGTCCTGGATTCAGCCATTTCTTCTCCAGGGACCTTGGGTCCTTTGGGTGGCTTCTAGGGGGCAGAGCAAGTTGCTACCTATTGTAGAGGGGACACGTGTCCCAGTGGACTTGGAAGTAAGTAACAACTTATCTAACGTGCACAGGCAACAGATCCCGGACTTGTGAACCAGGCTTTGTACAGATGCTTCCAGAAGCTCCCTGGTGCCTTGTTCCGCTTGTGGAGAGAAAAGGCATCTCTGAGAGAGCCTTTCGAGGCAGGAAGAATGGAGGAACTTAATGCCAGTCTGTCTTATGGTGTGGGAGCTCGTGTAGCTCAGGACAGGGCCAGGGACGGGCCGCTGCGGAGGCATGACCCTGTGCTGTCTCCCCTCTGAGGACAGAGGCATGTCCCTCCCTTGGGACCGTCTGCTCCTCCACACCCTCAGAACTCGCAGGAGGGCTCGGAGGCCCCGGTGCTGTTACTAACACAGTGAGATGGACTCAGCTGGTTTCATAAAAAGTCAAACCTTTTGGGATAAGCCTGATCTTTTGCTGTGGTTCTTCCATTTTTAAAAATGCTGCTCTTTGGGGCACCTGGGGGGGCTCAGTTGGTTAAGCGTCTGACTTCGGCTCAGGTCATGTTCTCATGGTTCCTGAGTTTGGACCCTGCATCAGGCTCTGTGCTGACAGCTCAGAGCCTGGAGCCTGTTTCAGTCTGTGACTCCCTCTCTCTGACCCACCCCTGCTCACGCTGTCTCTCTCTCTCTCTCCTAGAAATAAATAAAACATTAAAAAAAAAAAAGATACTAATAACTTCAAATAATGATTACTCGTTGATCTATTATTCGTTGATGGATATTTATATTCTGAATGTTTCATATTTTTTGAAATCACATATTTGTTAGACCATTCATTTTCTTTCCTTACATTGATTATAATTGAGATTGGTTTCAAGAATGGTGAATGGGTATTTTTTAAATGTTTCTAAACCATAAAATTTCTGAAGGCTAAGTGTAGCGAAATGTTTTCCCCTAGATTTCCAGTGCCTGTTGTGTGCTCACCACGGTGCACGATTACTCACGCTGTCGATGTAGGTCCTATACGATGGTTCCGTAGAAAAGCCGACACCGGGCGGCGAGAAGCCCGGCTACGGGAGGATGAACGGCGACGAGGAATTCTTTGATGCCGTCACAGGTGAGCGGGGCAGGAAGTGCGGCGGCGGCGGTGTGGGCGTGGAACCTCGGGTCCGGGTCCTGGCCTTGGCCTTAGGGATGCGAGGACGGCTCAGCGAAGCCATGCAGGAGAGGGACGTGACAGGCCCACGGCGTTGGCGCCCACGTGCCCTCTCCCAGCTGTGGGGAGAGGCTCAACCGGGGCCACAGGCGACAACAAGAAAGGGCAGTTGGGCTTTAGTCTTGAACAGAGTCGCCCTAGAGTGTAAGTACTGTTATTTGGATCCTACGTGAGACGGGCTGTTCTCTTCCGTCATTTATGCATCGCGAGCAGAGCCTTGCCGTCTCACATTATAGCCGGGTCTTGCGTCGTGCCGCGTGAGGCGTCCCAAGGATCGTGAGTGCGCGGCTCCTCGGTACCACTTACTGTGCCTGAGTGCGGCTGTCTCGCTCTCCCTGTTTAAGGACTGGCGTGCCCCCTACAGTCCGGGAGACGATGGTGTGTGCCTGACGGAAAGCAGCGTGTTGCAGGGCATGGGTATTTGGGGTGGGGGGTGGGGGGAGGGGAGGGTCCCCGTCACCGTTGCCGGGAAGAAGGCCTGAGCACCTCGAGGAACAAGTGAGCAGTAGCCGTATGGGCCCGGAGACTCTTCAGGTTCAAGACAGCCATTCATTCTCGGCCTCCGTCCCTCGTGGTCAACGTTTGGAACATCCTTTGTCATCTGTTGAGGACTCTCATTAGCAGAAAGGGACTTGAAGAGACTATTCTAGTCCAGTTCCCTCCTCCTTAGGTGGGGGAATATAAAGATAGCAGCTTTGAAATATTTCTCTGGGCCCAGTTTTTAGTGATGGTCTTTCAGGTGTGGCCAAAGGGGCTACTTCTGCTGTGACGGTCCCCTCTGGGCACACTGTGCTGTGTGAACGTCTGTCTCCTGGAGCCTGGTCAGCGTGCCCGGGGCGGCCGTAACTCCCTGGCCGGGCCCCTGTTCCCGGACCACGGGCCACACCAGGTTGGTGGACCGACAGCCCAAGACTGTTGACTTACTCTTGTTTGAAATGCAAGGAACAGGAGGTGCTGAGCTCAGTTACTTACGTCGTCTTTCCCGGTCTCGTAGCTGTGATCTGCCTCGCGGCTGTGCGCCTAGGAAACGCGCTTATCCGTCTAACCTGCGCTCTTCTGACCGCTAGTGCCACCCGGGACACGCGCCGTGGGCCACCTAGCTCTTGCAGGGTCACCAGGCCCCTAACCAAGAGCTGGCGTTGGTGTGCCCTCTTCCCTTAGGACTCTTGTGGGCCCTTCCTTCCGCCGGGACCAGAGGCCCCAGATCCCTGAACGTCTCCGGACTCTGCCTGGAGATGTTTTCCCAGACGGGACCGAGCTTTGTGTGGCCCGCTGTTTAGAGAAGCTTCCCCCGCCCCTGCCTCTCCACACGGCTGCCCTTCTCTGCACACCTCTGAGACACAGGGGGACACAGCTGTCCACGGAAATAAAGGCTCCTCAGCTCTTTGGTTGCAAACCAGATAGTGGAAGACAGACAGCAGGGCCCCGTGCGGGGAAGCACGCGGAGGACGCGGGGCCCCTTCCCCTGCGGTCTGAGGGAAGGGGGCTGAGCCCTGCAGTTACTGGAGCAATGGCTTCGGGGGCGATGACTTCCTCCAGGAACCAGCACTATTCAAGTACATGAAAACCTTGTGCAGATCACAGGCTGCGGCGACAGCCCTGCTAACAGTGTGTACCTCTGATCAGATTACAGGTGATTTCTAGTTCCTCCTTTGTTTCTCTGTATTTTTTTCTATAATAAACACATGTTGTATGCTAAAGTGTCTAAGCCGTTTCTGCCGCGCTGGCCTTGTGTGAGAAACGACCGCAGCACAGCCACCAGCGATGTGTTGCCCTGTCTCCCGGGCACGGGTTCGGGCCGCAGCTTGAGTGCACGTTCTTCACGGCTGTAGCCTGCAGCCTCTTAGCGTCCAGGGGGGTCCATGGGGACAGGGGCCCTCAGAGGAGGGCGGTGGGCAGGTCTTGCAGGATGGGGTCCCCTTAAGAAACCAAGTCTGGACTGAGGATTAAGTAGATGGTGCTTTTGGGTCAGTACGAAGATCAGAGGTGACAGGCTCTTTCAGAAGATATTGACTGTTAAAGAGGCTTGTTTTTAAGTGTCCCTCCGAAGCTGTTGCAAGGTAAACATCAGCACTGCATCTTGGGACCTGTCAGTACGGAAAAGTACGAGACAGGATTTTTTTGTGTGTCCCCAGGAAAGTGTAGCAGCAGATTTCTTTAGGTTTGGGGCCTAACAGCACTCAAGCCGCCTAGCCTCGTGCCCTGGGCCTCCCCGTTGACTGCGAAGTGAGGGGCAAGCGGGAACTCCCAGCTCCCTGTGAGCCCATGTGCTCCTGGAAACAGTCACTGTCATGGCTGAGCGCCACGGTCCAGGCGCCCCTCCCTGGTTGACGTGAGGGGGAGGAGGCCTCCTGAAGGGGAAGGGCCTCGGCACAGGGCCCAGGGCTGGGGAGGGCCGGGGAGCGTACTGACTGCGTCTCACACGAGTCCTCAGGATCACTGCCCAGGCTCCTTGTGGACGTGGACGTGGGGAGCTCTGAGTCCCAGCTGGGTCCGTGCTTGGGCTCTTGCTCACGGACACATGAGAGTCTGGCGGCGTGTTTGTGTGGTGCAGGTTCTTACTCCATAGACATCAGGGCTGCGGCTTCTATTTTTTATTTATTAAGTTTATTTGGGGGCGGGGAGTAGCACGCAAGCGGGAGAGGGGCAGAGAAAAGCTGAGAGAGTCCCAAGCAGGCTCTGCATTGTCAGCACGGAGTCCCATGTGAGGCTTGATCTCACGAACTGAACCATGAGATCATGACCTGAACTGAAGTCAGGAGTTGGACGCTTAACCACCCGAGTCCCGCCAGGCACCCGCACGGCTTGTATTTTGAAGGAGAGGCAGAGCTGACCACAGACCTTGTGCAGAGCCAGGACAAGCTGCAGCCTAGAGGCAGGTCTGGGTCCTGGAGGGGCGCCTGCCCCAGAGGGCATGAGCTGTGCCCGACACACGGGCACACGGTGCTCCCTGGCCTCCCAGCCGGACCTCAGGTGGCCGCCCCAGGTGCACAGGGCACCTGCACTGTCTGAGCCCCTGGGAAGCCCCGGAAGCGTTCCTCCGCCTCCGCGTGTTGGGGAGCAGGCCTAACTGCTGCAAATGTCCCCGTTAGAAACGAAGTAGAGCTTCAGGTGTCCCGTGCAGTCAGAGCTCTTGGAGCCGGGCTTCCGCGTCTTCCGGGTCCTGCAAAAACTGCCGTCTGCTTGTCGTGTGCAGGCTTTGATTCTGAGAACTCTTCTGGGGAATTTCCAGAGGCCAATCAGAGAGTCGCTGCAGTGATGTGTGTGGACACCAGCACAAGTAATGGGGTCGGAAAGGTCGGGGAGAGGCCCCCTCGAGAGAATGGAATTCAGAAGCACAGGTATGTTGTCCCACCCGCCTTTTAGAATCTTCCAGTGTATCTGTGGCGCCCCCGGCCATGCTGCAGGGTGCTCCTCCAGCTCTCCCGAGTCCCAAACTCAGGGGTGACCCAGCCGTGGCGCCCCCGGACAGCATCCCCTGGTGCCCTGTGTAGCCACAGGGTCAGAGACCCGACACCCCTCTCCTTCACTCCTGGAGATCCATGACGGCACTTCCTTGACCTGCCATTCCGGGCACCGCCCCCGGGCTGCGGCTGGACCGGCGGGGAGGGACCCTGCGCACCGCCTGCCTCCCAGTGCGCACTGCCTCTCTGCCCTGGGGGCCTAGAAGGGTCGTTTAGAGCGGCAAGACCCCCTTCTCCCCTCATTTCCTGTCCTGCCGAGCTAGATTTGGGGACGGTGACCTATGTCTTCCCCAGCAGAAGCGAGGATACGGGCCAGACAGGACCCACGAGATGGGGGTGGTGGGAAGGCGGCCTGCGTCCACCCCATGGTGACTCACTTTGTGGCTTGAGGGAGCCCCGCAGTCTCCCCGCAGCCCCTGCCCTGAGCGCTAGACCCCAGCGCCTGCCAGGTGCGAGCAGCAAGGACTCGGCGCCCCGCCCCCGCCGCTCGTTCACTCGGCAGGTGTCCGCGCACCTCCACGCGCTCCGGCGGCCTGACCCAGACCGGGTCGGGCTCTGCGCCCTCCGCTCAGCGCCCCTGAATCTGGTTCATGTGTGCCTGATGCCGCCCTCCTGCCCCCCGCGCGCTGCCGCCCAGCTCTGACCTGCGGCCCCATGATACACGCAGGGCCCCCCCATGCCTCTCCTGCTGTGTCCCTGTAGCTCTTGCTCTTCCCTCCTGACCCCTGGAGGGCTCACCTAGGGGCCTCTTCCTGTCCCTCCCAGTTTGTGGCTGCTGGGGCCGTGGCTGCCCCCGGTGTGCCTGGAGCTAGGGTGGAGCTGAGAGGTGGGCGCCAGCAGCCCTGTTCTGCCGACCCTCTTACCCCAGAAGCAAACACTGTGCCCTGACCCAGCTGCCCCTAATGTGACACGCCCGGGGGAGAGCACGGGGTCCCCACTGAGAAGAGCAGGGGTCCCGCTCAGGGGAGAGCATGGAAGTCCTGCTCCGGGGAGAGTGTGGGTCCTGCCTGGGGAGAGCAGGGGTCCCCGCCCGGGGAGAGGAGAGCACTGCTGTCATTGTTCTGAAGCCCAGAGCCGTCGCGCGGTGGTGCCTGGGCCGGGAGCTCCCGCTGCAGGCGGGGTAGGGGCTTCCCCTGAGCCAGAGATTGAGGGCAGTGCTGGGGTGTCTTGGGGATTGCAGGGCAGCCACAGGGTCCCAGGACCCCAGCAGTGCCTTCAAGGGGCCCCCACGCCATGGCGGCCCTGCCCACGGGCTCTGTCTTCAGTGTTCACGGTGCATGGGTCCAGCACGCCTCCCCCCAACTCTGGCTTCACGGCCGGCTCAGGCCCCCCTCCTTCCCAGGTGGAGGAGCGTCTCCCCTCAGCCCAGTTCCCAGGGAGAGACTGCCAGCTTTCCCTGGGGAGCTGGCAGGAAGAGAGCCTAGAAAGGAATGAGCCTCAGGAGAACAAACTTGTATTGAAAGGGGCTCCTGGTAGGCTTCTAGAAAGGTTTTGCTAATGCGGCTCCCTCTTATGCCCTCCTGGCCCGGCCTCTGCCTGTGGTCACCGTCATTTCCCGGGAGACCCTTCAAGACGCCTGTGCAGGTGCCTCTCTCTGGGACCTAATAGCGCCCCGGCTGCCAGAGCAGACACGTGGCTGGTGTTTGCATCTAAAAACTAAAAAAATGGTCACTGGGCAAAACCATCAGGTGTAAGCGAACCTGGCGCCGGAGGGATCAACCCGTGTTTCTCTGGTCCTTCCCTCTCAGGACCTCGTTGCCTGCCCCGATGTTTACCCGGAGCGACTTCAGTGTGTGGAGCATCTTAAAGAAATGCATCGGCCTGGTAAGTTCAGAGGGACTCATTTTGGGGCCTGAAGCTGAAACATTTTCAATTCCTGGGAAATTTGTTGCATTGCTGATAGTTTAGGGAGATGCACTCTGCACGTTAATAGCTGAGGACGATAAAATAGGGAAGGAACGGAGACGGGGGTGGGGGGAGTGGAGAGAAAAGGTAGAGGTGTCCACACACAGGAACGGACTCCCACAGGCGGGCCTCCTGATGTGAGATGCGTCACCGGGGTTTACGCTGACCCTGGCGTTCTGTGACGGACGGTCGCACAACGTGAGGAGCCGCGGAGGGTGAGCCGCGGGCCGGCGTGCGGGAGCGGGGACGCAGCGCGGACGCTCAGGGTTTGCTCAGAAGAGGTGGTTGGAGAGTGGTGTCCGTGGTCCTGCATGACTGTCACCGGCTGGGAATGTGGGCCCCGCCCCTCCGGAGGGCAGGGCGCACCCATGGGCAGTGGGTGGCACGCGGCCCCACCCCCCACGCCACACGTGTGTGCCGCCGCCGTTTGTTCTGCCCTCGTCCCTTTCAGCCCTTTCCCAGAGGAAGCGGGACCTTCTCTCCCACTTTTTACTTTGAAGGGACTTGGACTTCTGGAAGGTTGCAGGGTGGCATGCGGGGCTGTTCACCCTCCAGCCAGCTTCCCGTCGTGGTGCTGTCTCACGGAGCAGCCAGAGCTCGGCGAGCCGGGCGCCGGCGTTCCCGTCGGAGCGTCACTGCTCACCGCATGCTTGACGTGGCCTTCCCAGTTCCCCTGCCGTCCCGTACTGGCGGCCGGCGCTAGGTCACCGAGGCCCGGTGTCCCGGTAACCCTGCCCCAGGCCTCAGCAGACAGAGCTGTTAAACCCAGCGGGGCCTCCTGACCCTGCTTCCGCACGCACATACTTGTTTTACTTTTTTTATGTTTTACTTTAAGACTTTTATTTTCAAGTAGTCTCTGCACCCAGCGTGGGGCTCAAACTCACGACCCTAAGATCAAGAGTCGCACGCCAGCCAGGTGCCCCGCACGTCTCTTCTGTTTTAAAATGGCACGTTTGGGGTTCTGTTCTCTGAGCAGTGTTTTCTCCTCCATTTCTGACTGTGAGCAGGTGTGTCTGTCTGGAGATGGGTGTTGAACTTGACTAGTTCCTTGGTCTTGAAGCTTCTTGTCCTAAAGTGACTCTGTCACATCGCATTCCCCAAGGACCCCCCGTAGGATGGATTCAGACCAACCCGCGGGTCGGCGCGGTCGGGGCTGCACCAGCTCCGCGTCCGTGGGTGGGGATGCCGCCCGCTTCCAGTTGCTTCACTCACGGAGGCAGCGGCCATGCACCGGCCGGTGGGTATCGCGGCAGCAAGCGGGGCTCATCCCGCCCCTCGCCACGTCCTGCGTCTCCTAGTGCTTTGAAGCAGACCCCACTCGTGAATGTTTCTTACATGGCGAGAGGGTACGCGCCCTCCTTGCCGCCCGCCCAAGCACTGGCCGCACACGACGACGTGGATCGTTAATCCCATCCACTGCCCGCGGGCTCGTGCCCCTGGCTCTCTCTTTCCCGGGCCTGTGCTTTTCTGTCTGTTGTGTCCCCCCTGCCCCCCAAGTACGAGCTCCTGGTGCTCAGTGCCGGTGCCGTCGCTCTTCCTTTATTTCCTGGGATGTTTCTGTACTGAGAGCTTGCCCTTCCGTGGCCGCCAGCACGTTCGCAGAAGGTCAGGGGCAGCGAGCGATTCTCGCTTTATCACATTGCTACATAATGTGTTGGCTTCAGTGGCGTTACCCAGTGTGACCCGTGGTGTAACCAGCTCTCCTGTCTCTCGTTTTTTTTTTCCAACTTACGGAGTGAAACCTACTTGACGTGTTCCAGCCCCCTAGCCACTCCGTCTGTGGCTGTTAACAGCCTCTTCAGTTTGCCCATAATCCTCTATAGAAGGTGCTCTGGCTCATTCTGTACCTTCCTTGTCCGGGATCTGAAGTCAGCCACTTGTCCCGAGAGAGAGAAGACTCAGGACCACAGCGGGGCCCGGTGGGGTGGGGGTGGGGGGCTATAAATTGCTTGTTCTAGGTCTTTCCAGAGGGCAGAGCTAGGAGCTGTTTTGATTTGTTTCAATGATGCTTTAAATTTGGGGCGACAGGCCGACTCCAGCCGCCTCGGTAGTGTCTGTGCCTCTTCCCCCCACACCAACGATCCCAGTTTCTAATGACAGTGGAGGTGAACGATTTAGACCAGCACTTTGTTAATGACTCACCCGCTCTATCCCACACACACCATGGTTCCGCAGGACAGGACGCTTCTGCCGCCACCAGCATGTTCACTGAAACGTGCGAGTTTTTTGCCTTTTGTGGGTCGTCGTGGCCTGAGGGTGCGTCTCCAGTCACTGTGCTTGGAGTCGTCCGCCGTGGTCCCCGTCTAGCTGGCCGTCCCCTGAAAGCTCCTGTGTGCTCACTTGCTTCTTTTTGTTCTTGATGTTTGGAGATTGCTTTTCTAAATTAATTTTGTGTCAAAGTTGTAAATGTGAAGTCGGATCTCCGGGCCGAGACTCCAAGACTTTACCTTCCTGTCCCTGCCCCCGTCCTGCAGCCTCCCTTCCCCTCGAGGGACTGTCTCCCCCCTCCGTGGTCTGTCCCCCCGTGTGGCATGAAGTGGACCGTGTGTTATCACCTCCCTTTCTTCAGATATGCTGGAGGCTTTTCCGCCTCCGTTTCGCCGAGTCGTGCAGCCGCAGCAACGTAGGGCCACTGCTTACTCTTACGGTCACCGCCCACGCCCGTCACACGTGTGCCGTGCGTGTGCCGAGCAGTGCGGGGTGGGCTCCTGGAAACGGGGCCGTGGGACCGAGGGGCAGGTGCGCGCAGCTCTGCTGTGGGGGCCTCGGCTGCACCCCCACCGGCTGTGGGGGCCTCTTCCACCCAGCCCTGCCCCTAATGGGTGTGGAGTGTTGCCGCTTGAGCAGGTGAGCAGGCTGACTCTCCACGTAGTTGACACCCTTTCTCCTGAGAGCAAGGCCAGCATCTACCCCGTGCTCAGAGCGGGGTGGCGTGTGGCTCCGGTCCCGGAGCGGTCCAGCGGTGACGGGTGTTCACTGGCTGCTTCCAGGAGCTGTCCAAGATCACCATGCCCATCGCCTTCAATGAACCTCTGAGTTTCCTCCAGCGGATCACGGAGTACATGGAGCACGTGTACCTCATCCACAGAGCCTCCTGCCAGCCGCAGGCCCTGGAAAGGATGCAGGTGGGCGGTGGGCTCCGTTTGGGGGACGCCAGACACTGAGATTGTAGTGTTTGGTGGGCGTGACACCACGTGACCGGCCCCACGTGACGGATGTGCACTCGCACTGGCTTCTGGGTACTGTCAGGCCCTGCGCCTTGGCTCCTCCCGGGTCCTCTCAGGACCAGCCCCCGCTGCCAGCCACCCCACCGGCCTGGCACAGGGCCTTAGGGCGGAGGGCAGCACCCGGGTCCTGGCTGTGTGGTTTGCGGAAGTGCCTGTGCTGAGGGGCATTTCCCCGGAAGTTCCGTGATCCCAATGCACGTGACAAGGAGACTCAGGCCGCCAGCGCGCGTCGTGGTGCCGAGAGGCTGCACGTGTGGTCCCTCCGCTCAGCGTCCTGTGTTGTTCCCAGTGCGTAGCTGCCTTTGCGGTATCGGCGGTGGCTTCCCAGTGGGAGAGGACCGGCAAGCCCTTCAACCCGCTCCTGGGAGAGACGTATGAGCTCATCAGGTAAGGGCTCGGGGCCCGGGGGCTGCCAGCGCCTGAGGAAAGAACAGGGTGCGGGGCCATCGGGGGTGGGGCCGCTGAGGGAGAAGGTACCTCGCGGCCACGGGCGCCTGGCACAGAGGCACGGGGTGAAGCGGAGCGCCGGGCTCTGGGGGGGAAGGGAGGCGACTGGGAGGCGCTGGCTCTTCCTGGAACCGATGTGGACACAGGCCCTATGCGGGAGGCGGCCTGTGTCAGCAGAGCGTCTGGTGACGGTCACGGGGCGGGTGCAGCTGGGGACAGTAGCTCCCACGTGCCGGCGAGGGCCTGGGGGGTGGTTTCTGGCGGGTGGAGCCCCGTGCAGCCCCCTAGCTGCTGACCTGGTCTTTGAGCCCCGCCCGCGCCCAGGAACAGCGCAGCCTGGAGCTGTCCTGGTGGGGGACCCGGAGGGCGCACTGGGCCTGTTTGGGGTGCTCTTCCCTGGCCCCGCTGCCCGCGTGAAGTGCCCACCCAGGCCAGCAAGTAAAGCAGCGCCCGCGCTGTCCCCCATCTGCTCGGCGTGGCTGGGGCTCCTGGTGGGGCCATTGGCTGCCGTCTAGACTTCCGCTCTGCCTCCTCTGGGCCCTGTAGAGAGTCTGCCGGGATCTCTTACTAAATGAAAGTGTGTCTTTAATGATAAGAGCACGTCCTTTTAGAAAATGTGTAAGTTGAGGGGCGCCTGGGTGGCTTAGTCGGTTAAGCGTCCGACTTTCGCTCGGGTCATGATCTCGCGGTTCGTGGGTTCGAGCCCCGCGTCGGGCTCTGTGCTGACTGCCAGCTCGGAGCCTGGAGCCTGTTTCAGTCTGTGACCCCCTCTCTCTCTGGCCCTCCCCTGCTCACGCTGTCTCTCTCTCTCTCCTAGAAATAAATAAAACATTAAAAAATAAAAATTCAAAAAAAAAAAAAGAAAATGTGTAAGTTGAGAAAAGTGAAAAGCGAGTCAGACCCCATCCCGCAGGAGACCATCAGTGTTAAGGTTTTGGTAGATTTCCTCGCGTGTGTGCGTGTGCGTGTGTGTGCGCGTGCACGTGTTCACACAGTGTGATTGTGTTAGCGTGTGTCGTGTGTCATTTAGCGTTGGGTCGTCTTCATCCCCCACACGGCCTCACAGGCCTTCCCCGAGTCAGGCTGCCAGGCTTTGTGTCTGCGTCTGTGCACGTCCTAGCTCGATGCTCGCCCTGCTTCCTTGGGTCACGAAATCATATTGGCGCCATGTCATCACCGCGCTGATCTCAGGGAGTCCTGTGCTTCTGGGCCCTTTACTGCCCTCAATCCCTATGTTATTAACGATCAGAGTTTCTCAAAGGTGAGTAAATGGTGGTGGAACTGGGGGTGGGTCCGCTTGAGTCAGCGCTCTGGGCGCGTGCGGCTGCGGGAGGCGTGTGCCAGGGTGTGTGTGTCAGCGCTGCTTTCCCGTCTGCGGGAGGAACCGTCAGTGTGAGTAACACAGGCGTAAGTCACCTGCCACTGGGACGGCACAGGTGTCCCGTTTCAGGCTCTGACCGGGCGGCTCTCAGGACCCCGCCGCCTTGGAGCGGCTGGGTGCGTTAGAGGGCACAGGGCTGCCGTGGTGTCCGTGCCGGAGACCCTGGTGGCCACGGCAAGTCCCTGCTTCTTCAGTTGAGAAATGGGGAAACTGAGGCCCAGGTGAGGCAAACACCTGCCCCAAGAGTCCCTTTTCAGGGGAACTCTTGTGAATGCGCAGAGAGCGCTCGTTCTTCCTCAGCCGCACCCCTGCAGCAGCCCTCCGGGGCCGTGTGTCCTGGTGCGACGTGGGAGGCTCTGACCTTGTCTGCTGTTGGGAAGTTATTAACATTTTCGTTATTAAAAAGCACCATTAACATATCTTGAAAAGAGAAACGAAAGCCCAACACAAAAGAGGTTCTAGACGGGAAGTAAACCTGTGGATTCAGAGACTGCGCGACCCATGGCGCCGAGGCCGCCACCCTGACCCTCCGTCGTGTCCAGGGTTTAGTTGAGGGGTCGAGGCCAAGTCCAGACTGACCGAGAAACGAGCATTCTTCCCGAGGGAGCAGACGTCGCGCCCTGTCTTCGGGTCCAGGTCACGCTTGTGTCTGCGTCCACTGCGCGCTGGGCCCCGAGGGGCCTTCTGGTCTAAGGAGCTGTGTCACGAAACCAAGTCCTTCTCCAGCGTCTTCTTCCCTACAGATTGCTCCTGAACAGCTAAAAATAGCACTTTCTTTTCTTAGACAAGTATTCATTTTGTAAATTACATACCTTGGTAGGCAACCTTTTAAAATCTAATTTTTCAACTTTCCTTCCTCTGTAATGATTGGAAATTCTGATTCCAGTTAAGTTAGTAATTATGTGGTTTAGCTTTTATCATTTTTAACGACTACAACTGTAGGTGTAGTCACAGTTCCGGAACAATTAAAAACTGACATTTTTATTGAAAAAGAGCATGTACTAAAAACCCTGTTTCCTGGCCCAGGAGTATCTTGGCGCATCAGACGTGGCACATCAGAAAACTTCCAGGAGCCCTAGCGGGGGCTGGAGGAGGGCCCTACGGGAAGGTCGCGAGCTCCCTGCTCTGTGGTTCCTGGGCGCTGGGGGTCCCTTGAGGACTGAGGTGGCTGCGTCCAAGTCACTGGTTATAGGAGTTTTGTCTAGGCCTGTGCATGCTGGGGGCGATGTGCGCGGAGGCTCAGGGTGGAAGGCCCCTCGCGTTCTTTCTCCTTCCGTGTGGGGTCCAGATTTGCCCCGGGGGCAGTGTGTGCGCCTGCCTGTGTGTGTGTGTGGGGGGGGGGGGTGTCAGTGTCAGGCCCAGAGTGGCATCAGAGCGAGTGTCAGATAGCTCTCACTCAGGGTGGCCGCGCCAGGTGCTGCAGGGCTCCCCCAAGAGTGCGCCGAGCCGACCCTGGTCAGATTTTGCCGTCACTAACGTGGCGCTCTCTCTCTCTCTCTCATTTTTGTGCCTAGGGAGGACTTAGGGTTCAGATTTATATCTGAGCAGGTGAGCCACCACCCCCCCATTAGTGCATTTTATTCAGAAGGCCTCCATCAGGATTTCCTGTTTCACGGCTCCATCTACCCGAAGCTGAAGTTCTGGGGCAAGAGCGTGGAGGCCGAACCCCGGGGCACCATCACGCTGGAGCTGCTTAAGTGAGTGCTGCGGCCAGGCCGGGCGGGGCGCGCTTCTGAACCCCGAACACGCTCCCTTCTGGTGGACCAGCCTTTCCCAGGGTGGCAAACCGGCCCCGGCAGGCACGCCCCTCACACCCGCGTCGGGCCCACTCTCCGCAGACGCGGGCGGCTTTAGTCATTGCTTTTGGCAGCTCTTTCGCTTGGTCGTGAGCCCGCACGCAGCAGCTTAGAGCAGCCACTCTCTGCTCTCCCACGTGGCCTCCGAGGGCCAGGGAGCAGCGTGGCAGGCGCTCTGGCTCAGGGTCCCACGAGGAGGCAGGCAGGGCGCGGGCCGGGACGCATCCCGGAGGTGGCCGGTGGTAGGAGGCCCGGGGATGCTCACAGTGCTGCTGGCATCACTGGGGCTGGGGACCCAAAAGGGACGGAGCCACGGTGTCTTTTATGACCTCATTTTAGAAGTGACCGCACCCCGACCCTAAGGCCCGTTGGTTACACAGACCACGCTGCTAATGGTGGGAGGGAGACGTGGCTGATCCCGGGAGGTGGGGGACTTGGCGGGGTGGCCTGGAGGTGGCCCCCACACCCACTAGATCTCAGTCCAGACGCTCCCCGGTGCGTCTGCTCGGACAGCGTGCACAGCAGAAGCCCAGTCTCTCGTAGTCACCCAGACATTGCAAAGCCAGTGTAGACGCGATCCAGGCCGCAGCATGCTGCCAGCTCCCGGAGGCGCACATCTTGCTAACTGCACCCTCCGTGATGAACCAGGGGTATAATTTGTCTCACGCTGGCGCATCCTGCCTGGCTGCCAGAGAACACCAGTCCTTGACCCGTGGACGTCAGGGCCGACGAGGTCGCCGGGCACAGTGAGGGTGCCCTGTTCCTGGGAAGCGAGCCCGTCTTGCGGTGCTCTGTGGGTTCCTGGGGCGGGGCTCCCACACCTGAAAAGCAGCAACCTTATAGATTCACGCACTGGGGTCCCCTGGAAGTTTGAGGGGCTCCAAATAGTGTCCTGAGATACCTGTGCTTTGAGCGAGTCTCGGCCCTTCCTTATTTGACACGGCCTCCCTCGAGACGGGGGACTGGTGAACCCGCTTCACACTCACGGGGGTTCTTTTCTCCTTGGGTCAGGCCATCCAGGAATGATGAGGGATGCTGGAATGTCGTTTCGGACGGAGCTGCTGCCGGGACCTGGGTCAGGGTGCGGGCTGGGCGGCTCCGGGAGCCTCTGTCTCGGTGGCCTCCTGTCGCTTATTAACTTGTCTTGACATTTAAGTAGAAAGCTTTGTTGATGCTACAAAGGAAAGCAGAGATAAATTTCAAACAAATGCTAAGTAAATAGCCGCCATTCGCCATTCGGGCAAGTTCAAAGCAACACTCTGCCCCCGCACGGGCTTTAGGGCAATTATGGCTTAATTCCATCTGGTGTTTTGCTTTTGAGGGTCAGGCAGTGTCTTCTGCTTTGCTGGCGTCTGACTTTGTGTTTCGTGGTCTTTACAGACATGGTGAAGCCTACACGTGGACGAACCCCACGTGCTGCGTGCACAACGTGATCATCGGGAAGCTCTGGATAGAGCAGTACGGGACCGTGGAGATCGTCAACCACAGGTACTGGCGGCTGTGCCACGGGCGGGGGCCGCGCCACGCTTGCCGTGGCTCCCGCTGCCCCGCCTGGTGGTGGGGCTGTGGGGCTGCTCAGAGGCGGTGTCTCCCTGTGCGCCCCCGGCCTCTTGTCCTGTTTCGGTCACAACAGTGAAGTTACTTTGAAACTTTACACTAGAGTGTGATGTGATTCCCACATGCAGAGGTCACGACCATCCTCAAATACTGACCTCTGTCTACCTTGGACCTTCTTCCTGGAAGTTGGAGACATGTCGGCTCTGTTTCTCAGCAACTTTATGGAGATACAATTTGCATATCAAAAAATTCACGCTTAATTAAGTGACACTCAGTGTATTTACTGAACTGTACCGTCGCCAGCAGGCAGTGTCAGGACATTTCTGTCACCCCAGGAAGACACCCCGCGCCCACTCGCGGTCACTCCCTGACGCCGCCCCCTCCCCGGCCGCCCCTGGGTCTCCTTTCCTGGACGCTTCACACCGTGCAACGGAAGCCTGTGTTTGTCTTTCCTGCAGAACCGGAGATAAGTGTGTGCTTCATTTTAAACCATGTGGCCTGTTTGGAAAAGAGCTTCACAAAGTGGAGGGACACATCCAGGACAAAAAGTAGGTCCACGCCCGGGTGGCCCACTGTGGGTGGCGTGTGCGCCCCCTGCTGGCGAGGTGGTCATGCCAGGGATGTGCGTTCACACTAGAAAAAATCGTGACTGTGTTTGGTCTGGAAGACACACTTCTTTAGTTTCAAGTGTTGGTTCTGGGCGGTGAGTGATCGGGGTCTGTCTCTCCCTCTTTTTTTTAAAATGTTTTATTTTTGAGAGAGAGACAGTGTGAGCAGGGGAGGGTCAGAGAGAGAGGGAGACACAGAATCTGAAGCAGCTCCAGGCTCTGAGCTGTCCGCACAGAGCCCGACGCGGGGCTTGAACCCACAAACCGTGAGATCATGACCTGAGCCGAAGTCGGACGTTGAACTGACAGAGGCACGCAGGCGCCCCTGTCTCTTCCTCTCTTGAGGACGAAAGGTCTGGGTCTGCTTTCTGTTGATAAAATGGACATGAGAAACTGAGGTCCCCGCGCTGAGAGGTTTTGCAGACAGAGCTGAGATTGACAGTGTGGCTGCGAGACGCAGCTCAGACCGTAGTGGAGGCCTCGTCTCTGCAGGCCGACTCATTCCAGTCTGTGAGTTAGGGACTTTTTAAATCTTGGTGACCAGAGAAACAGTCAGGAGTTCACAACAAATGTTCTGGCATTTTCTCTCCTTTGGGTTATTTAAAAAAAATTTTTTTTATTCAAAAAATTTTTTTGTTAAGGTTTATTCATTTTTGAGAGACAGAGTGTGAGTGGGGGAGGGGCAAAGAGAGAAGGAGACGCAGAATCTGAAGCAGGTTCCAGACTGCGAGCTGTCAGCACAGAGCCCGACACGGGGCTTGAACTCAGGAACCGTGAGATCATGGCCTGAGCCGAAGTCATGACCTGAGCCGAAGTCAGACGCTCAACCGACTGAGCCGTCTGGGTGCCCCTCTCCTTTGGGTTGGTTTAGCTTATGTCTTTGGCCTCAAATTTCTCACTTTTTATTCCCCAGTCAAGAATTGGGGCATTACATAATGTCATGAACTACTTTCACCTTCTAAAAGCTAGATATTTTCTTTCTTTCTTCTTATTTTGAAGTAGGCTCCGTGCTGAACATGGGGCTTGAACTCAGCTCCATGAGGTCAAGAGTCAGGTGCTCTACCCACTGAGCTGCCAGGCGCCCCTCATGCATTTTCATTAGAAACAAGTTTCCAATGTAGAGCGGCGGGTGCTCCTTCTCCTTGTGTTGAGTATCAGAAAGTCACCTGTTGAGACCGTAAGAAGGTTTTAGACTTTAGACTGGGGCCACCGCGCCCGTGAAGTGAGCTGGGGCTCAGCTCGGGGACCCTGCAGGCCGGCAGCACCCTGAGCAGCCTCCCCTTCGCCACCGGCGGCGACAACGCAAACAGAGACAGGCGCCGCCCCTGGCGGCCACGCGCACCAGCCCGGAGGGCCTGCCAAACCCCGTTCTGATTTTTCGGTTTTCCACCCCACGGGGGAGTGAGCTCTTGCCTAACGCTGTGCCTCTCGGGGGCAGAACGTGTCGGCCAAGGTGACTGCTGAGTGAGAACCGGCCCCGTGTCCCCTGCCGAGCCCCCTGGTCTCTTTCCGGGCTGAGCCTGAGGCAGGGCTGCCCCTCCCTCCAGGATGTCACACGCCCAGCAGAGCTGCATCTCCCGGGAGCGCGCGGCCACCGTGCTTTCCCCGCAGGAGGACGCAAAAGAGAGAAAAAGAAAAAACAAAAAACGGTCCAGCGCCGTTGGCGTTGTTCCTTTCGGATCCGGCAGAGGCTGGCGGTCGAGCTGGACAGTCCCCAGAGGTCGTTAGTAAGTGACACAGGCAGGCGGGTAATGATGTGGGCATCCGATCTGTGGTTGTGAAGAGAAAGCAAACAGTGTCAGCTGAAATTGGAAGGGCTGTTTATGTGATTTGTAGGGAAGGGAAGGACACACACTCCTGGGAGCTCGTGTGTTTCAAGGACGGCGACCGGACGGCGCACAGGCTTAGACGAAACGTTCCCTTGTTCTCACCCTTCTCGTCCGCGGAGCCCGCCGTCCACACTTGTAGGGCTCATGCCCTCCTCTTTCTGCTTTGGTAAATTAGGCCCGAGGAGGGACCCTAAAGGGCAGATTTTCCTCTTGCACCTATGTCCAGAGGTTCCAAAATTTACAAGGAGACAAACCAGAACAGGAATGTACCCCATGGTCATGGTCACAATTAAGGTGCTGCCTGTTTAGGTGAAAGGCTTATAATTGCTATAAACATGGTTTTAACAATTTCCTTTGATGGGGCACCCGGCTGGCTCAGTTGGAAGAGCACATGACTCTTGATCTCCGGGGACGTGAGTTCGAGCCCCATGTTGGGTGTAGAGACTACCGAAAATAAATAAACTTAAAAAAAAATTCCTTCTGACTACAGCAAAAAGAAGCTCTTTATGATCTATGGAAAGTGGACAGAGTGCTTGTGGGGAATAGACCCTGCTGCATACGAGTCCTTTAAGAAACGGGAGAGGAGAGGTGACCACCTGAGCAAGCCGCAGCTGGTGAGGTGCTGCCCCTGTGTGGGTACCCCCAGGGCGGAAGCAGCCCTCGGTGGTGGGGGGGTGCCCCGCAGGGTGGGGGGGTGAGAGAGCAGTTGGGGGGTGGGGTTTCCAGCGTCAAGTGCAGAGTCCAGTGCTGGGGAATCGCCCTCCCTCTGCTGAGCCGTGGGGCCCTGGAATCTGCGGTCCGTCCGTGCTGCTTACGGCCTGGGTTTATCTGCATGTGTGTGTGGAGGCTGCTGCCGTCGGCAGGGCTCGGGGGTCTCTGGGTGTGCCATGTCCCCCTGAGCCTGGCACAGCCCAAGTGCACCTACGTTTCCTTCTGGGAATGCTGTGCTCTGGGTTCTTGTTCATAAGCCTCCTGTCTTCCTGCACCTCGTCAGCTTAGACCTATTAAACAATCAAGAGACTGTCATGTCTGTGTTTTTAGTTCTGAGCTCCAGGTAATATATTCCATAGCTGGGAAGTTTTGGTGAGGATATTTTTCCCCCGGAGCTTTGGAATACTGATTTTCTTAGGGCTTCAAACTAGAAGTGGTTAGTTCAAAAGGAGTGTCAGATGTTTTGAGGTAAGAAGAGAAAGTGGGCCAAACCCAAGGTGCTCAGCCTCCCCTGGGGTTGCGGCACCCGGCCCGGCATCGTGGGAGCGCCCCTGAGCACCGTCCAATGGCGGTGCTCTCTGACTTAAAGAAAAGAAAAAGGAAAGTTCCATTTGGGGATTTTGAGGACCACACAGACTTAGAATGTGAAATCCACTGAAGGGCTTTTAGTGCTTTCATTTAGCTTCCTTACCCTCTGGGTAACCCGACGTGGGAGAGCACTGATGCGAGCACCTCTCCCAGAGCCTCCTTCTCTGGCTTCCGGCACCAAGCCCTGTTGGACTCGGTCGGGAGGGTCCCAGAGCCGTGCCCTCCTACCCCCTGCTCTCCCACGGCAGCTGCGGGGCTGACCGGTTGCTTCTTTCTCCAAGTCCCGCTGGTCGGGAAGCGTGAGGTGGCGTTTTGTCTTCAGATGTGGTGCAGTTGGGGTTCCGTCTCGAGGTGCTGAGATACCGTGAGATCGCCCGGCATGAGCGCTCCTTGGCGGCGGGCGGAGCTGTGGCGTGTGGGGCCTGGCCCCGTCCGCTGGGCTGCCTGCTCCCCGGGTGTAGGCTTGTGCTGCTCCCCAGGAAGGGGGAGCACCCCCAGGCTGCTGACTTCCCTCCCGCTCTCTGGGGGGGGCAAGGTGGGGAGCCCCCGCAGAGATCACCACGTCCTCTCCTTCGCTGGAGCCCATCTTACTCCGCCCGATGGCAGCTCTAAGGGCAGCTGCCCCTCCCGGCCAGCCGGCCCACGCTGCCCTGTGTTTCAGGACGACAGCGCCCAGAAAGGTGATGGCGATGTGGCCGATGCCGTGCCCGAGGCTCAGGAGACCGTGCAGGTCATTCCAGGCAGCAAGCTTCTCTGGAGGGTCAACACTCGACCCCCCAACTCTGCCCAGGTCTGTACCCTCCACTCGCGACATCTGCTCCCCTCTGCGCCCCCACCTCCGCCCCCCGTCAGCTGGGCCCTGCATCCCCGCCGTCTAGGACCACGCCCCTGCTCCCTGCCTTCCCAGAGCCGCGGCCTTCCCAGGCAAAGGCAGTGCTCCGCCAACGTGTCGTGTGGGCGTGCTGACGCGCCCCCGATGCCCGGGCGGCAACACAGGTGCTTGTGCGCATGTGGCGCCTTCTCTGGGCAGCCTGCACCGACTGGGTCTCATGAAAAGGGCTTCCAGACAGCTTTTGAGAAATTATGAGAAATTAATTTTCTGACTTTTTGATTTAGATGCTTAAACACATTTTCGTATTTATGTTTGAAAATTTGCGCTTACAATTCGTATTGTACGTAGTAAGCTTATTATATCATATATTAACATACAGTATGCAGGGTGACTATATAAACGTAATGATTTTGTGTCGTGTTATTTTAATATCTATCGTTACTTATCTCATTCACGTGTAAAGTACGCGAACTGTATGTGAAGTGCTCCTCATGTCCTGTTACCAGAACACATGTGAACACACGTAAAATAAGTAAAAGGAAACAGAACCCCCACCTGTGTGTGCGTCCCCTCGACGCAGCCACGGCTCGCTCTCAGCAGGATGTAAAATAGTGCAACCCAATAGGAGAAAGGCTGTGTGTCTTCCCAGGGAATCCCTCTTAGAAACAACCCCCGCTCGTCCATCCTGTGGTTCCGTGTCTGCGGACCCGGGGGACCGTGCAGGTGCGGGGCAGTGCCCACCCACCTGTGCGCGAGGAGGTGCCGGGGGGGAGGGAGGGGGCGAGCTGTGCGGCAGAGGGTGGACCGGCCCGAGCGGGGGACCCTTTGCTGCTCCGAGCAGAGCGCAGAAACAGATGCCAGGGAGGTGACGGGTTTCTGCCCCCCCCCCCCAGATGTACAACTTTACCAGCTTCACTGTTAGCCTCAACGAGCTGCAGAGCGGCATGGAGAAGACCCTGGCGCCCACGGACTGCCGCCTGCGGCCCGACATCCGGGGCATGGAGAACGGCTACATGGGTACGCGGGGGCAGGGCTAGGGGGCGACACGGGCAGACAGGGAGGCCGTGGACAGCGCCACTCCCACTCTCCGTGGTGGGAGAGACTTAGAAATCCCGCCGCTGCGGACCAGCCCCCCCTGCAGATATGACGCAGTTCAGTCACTAGAGAGGTGAAAACAAGCATGTGACGAACACGAGTCCCTAGCGTCACCGACACAAGGGTGACATTTCCAAGAGTGGACGTGTTCTTCATCCAGAGGCAGTGGAGGACCGTGTCCCAGGCCCGGGCAGCTCCCGCCCCGTGGGCGTCTCCCCGTGATTGGGGGGGGGTGCCGCATGCTGGCTGTCACATGTGTGCGACAGCTGTGCAGCAGGCTATCCCCAGGGGCCCCAGGTTTGGTGTACACGCTTGGTGCTGAGTCTCTGCCCCCACCCCCAGGACCGGGCTGGGGAGCCCGAGGGTCGGGTCAGGCGGGATGGTCTCCCTGCCTGTGGGTCCAGTCTCCGCGAGCCTGAGCCTGCCTGGGCCTGGCGCTCTCCCCTGGGCCCTGCTGCGCCGGCCGCGTGCTGTGGGGACACGGCCTGCCTCTGGTTTGCAGATGACGACATTTCTAACCAGGGGACTTCTCACCTAGGGTCTGGGGGTGGGGGCGTTCCCGCATCTGCTTCCTTCAACCCTCTCTCTGCTTGATGTGAGCCGGGAGCCTCACCGTCAACCCTGAGTCCTTACCCCCGGCGTGTGCTTGGCCCCCAGAGCTGGCGAGCCAGGAGAAGGAGCGGCTGGAGGAGAAGCAGCGGGAGGCCCGGAGGGAACGAGCCAAGCAGCAGGCCGAGTGGCAGACGAGGTGAGGCCGCGGTGGCTGGGGGGGGCGGTGGTGAGGGCCCCACGCACACCTGCGGCGGAGCGGGCGCTACAATGGGGTCCCATTAACGCGGGGCCACGGCCCCGGGTCTGGCGCGGGTCCCCTGACAGGAGGTGAGGATGCACCCCGCCGGTGCGGGGACATGCCTCTGACCTTGAGCACTCTTCTCAAATAGGGCACAGCTTAAAAGAAACCACAGCCTGAACCAGGCCACCAGCTGGGGGGAAACGCAGCTTTTGGGAAGGCAGTGCCGTGGAAGGAATGGCATGTTCAGCCGTCACTCTGTGGCGCTGCTAGAAGGCTGCTCTTCTCCACCTGCCACACATGGAAAGGCCATGGCCGGCCATGTGGTCCCGTGGATAGGGAGGGTGTGGCGCATAGGGCCCGGGGGCGTCCTCAGGCTGGGACACACCTGTGTTCAGACCAGGTGAGAGGGTCAGAGACAGAGACAGGGAGTAGACCCTGGGCCCTGGGCCTCTTGCTGCCTCACTGGAAAATTGTGGTTAGTTTGTCAGTAGCCGTAACGTGAAAACAGCCCATTCAGTGAGGGTTTGGTCAGGTGAGTACTGTAATACTTGAGTATAATTAAAAATAAATGAGATGGCCAACAGACACATGAAAAGATGCTCAGCATCCCTCCTCATCAGGGAAATACAAATCAAAACCACACTGAGATACCACCTCACGCCGGTCAGAGTGGCCAAAATGAGCAAATCAGAGAACTCTAGATGCTGGCGAGGATGTGGAGACACGGGCTTCCTCCTACACTGTTGGTGGGAATGCAAACTGGTGCAGCCCCTCTGGAAAACAGTGTGGAGGTTCCTCAAAAAATGAACAATAGAACTCCCCTATGACCTAGCAATAGCACTGCTAGGAATTTACCCAAGGGATACAGAAATGCTGATACCTAGGGGTACATTTACCCCAATGTTCATTGCAGCACTCTCCACAATAGCTAAAACATTGAAAGAGCCTAAGTGTCCATCAACGGACGAACGGATCAAGAAGATGTGGTTTATCTATACCATGGAATACTACATGGCAATGAGAAACAATGAAATCTGGCCTGTGTAGCAACATGGATGGACCTTGAGGGTGTTATGCTGAGCGAAATTAGTCAGGCAGAGAAGGACAAATATCATATGTTTGCACGTATAGGAGGATTAGGAGGAACTTGACGGAGGAACAAGGGGGAGAAGAAGGGGGGAAATGGTGGGGGAAAGGGAGAGAGGCAAACCATGAGAGACTCTTGAATGCTGACAAAAACTGAGGACTGATGGATGTGGGGGGGAGGGGGATGGGCATGGAGGAGGGCACTTTGGGGATGAGCACTGAGTGTTATGTGGAAACTAATTTGACAATAAACTATTTGTAAAAAAAAAAAAAAAATATCTGTTAGAATGTTAGTCCTACAAAAATCTTGGGGTGGCTTTGAACTGTTCAGTGAGTATTTTTTTCCAATCAAGCTTGATGCTCCGTAGCTATTGTTTTCAAGGCCTGGTTGCGATCACCTCCCGTGACTGTTTTGTGACTAACATTTTTAAAACCCAATTCTTTGTGCTGGGGCTTCCGATTTGATTTAATTTTATGCTTTTGGTAGTTTGATATTTGGAATTAGCTTCATTCCAGAAAAGGCTTGAAAAGAGTCCACCTTCTTTTTTTTTTTTTTTTGGTAAGGAATTGATTTAAAAAACACATTGCAGAAGTAGCGATATTTTGTCCTCAGATGATTCCTTCTACTTTCTGAGTCCCCAGGTCCTTTGTTGTCTTCAGGACGCGCATCAGAAGTAGAGGGGCCAGGGGCTTCCCAGGGCACGCGCCGGACACGCGCCCATGATGGCGGCCCTGTCTCCCCTGCCACAGGCTGTCCCCTTCCCCGGTTAGACAAACACCGGGCCTGCCTCTGGGGAAGGAGATAGCACTGTGCCCGTTCTTCCCTCGGAAGGGACTGTGGTCGTTGTCCGCTAACGGCCCGGCACGTTTCCGTGAAGTCCTTGAGGGCCTGCTGGCAAAGCCCACGCCGGGCTCGTTGGTGGGCACCACGCTTGAGTGAAGGTGTGTTAGTCATCCTCTGCCACGGTTGCTGCCCCTAACGCCACATGCGATGTGGTGGGGCCTCCCTGCAGGGAACACGAGCCGGGCGGTGTCCGCTTGCTGCCTGACCACATCTTCTGTGTTCCAGGTGGTTCCATCAAGGCAGCAACCCCCACACGGGGGCCCCTGACTGGCTGTACGCAGGGGGCTACTTTGAACGGAATTTCTCACATTGCCCGGATATCTACTGAGGGGTCCGAGTGGCCCTCTCGATCCGGAACTGGAGACCGGACTCCGTCAGGTGGCCGCCCCGAGCTTCCATCACCGCACAAACTGGCTTTTATGGCGACCGTGTCCACGGAGACAGCACCGTCCCCGGTCGAGGACTTGATTCTAATTAACTTTTGATCGCCAAACATTTTACTACTGTTGCAGCCTCTTCATAAAGCTTCACTCGGAATCATCATGTTTTCATTAAGGGCGGGAAGGACAGTCCTGTGCCTCCCTTCGTGTGACAGGACTCAGCCAGGCCTGTTACACGGCGCCCTCTTCGTCATCAAGTTTATACGGGAAGTAAGTAACCGGGGGGGGGGGTTAGTTCCAAGCCTCCCCCCCCCCCCCGTGTCCCTCCTAGCACAGTGGCAAAGGGTTTCTGAGACTGTTGTGAATTTGAACCAATAACAGGAGAAGATGGATCTTGAAAATAATCCTTCGAAGAGCTTTATGCGGGCCAGGAATTGCTCCCTAAATTACGGTAACACAAAAGTGAAGATTTTCAAAGCGTCAGATGGAATGAAATGAAAAGCTGTCAGATTCTGTATTTTTTACCAATCTTCAATAATGTAAAGATTAATTTTAAAATATTTAAGTTAAAACTACTTGAATAGTATTTTGCTGAAGAGCAAGATATGCATTAATCACCAAGTGTATACTGTCCAAAACGAAGCATTAGCGTGACAGCCTGGGGTGGCTAGGAACCCTGAGCGTGGTGACGGCCTCCCCAGGCTGCTGCCAGCCTCTGTCACCGGGGCTCGTGGCCTCTGGTCCAGGCCCAAGTCACAGAGGCTCGCCGTGCCCACGGCCGGTGCACCCTGCGGCAGGTCTGATGCAAGAGTCACTACGGCCGTGTCATTAAGATCACGTAACAAAAAATAGGTGTGTGTCCAGCCTAGAAACATGCCTTCCGGTGGCTCCTCTTTCTGTGGACGTGTCAACGCCGCAGGCTGCGCGCGGCAGCGCTCCCGCCGGAGGCCGTACGGAGCGCTGCTTTCTCGATGGCAGGCTGTCGTCACCGTCTGGGCTTTGACGTCACATGTGTCATTAAAACACTTTTAAAAGCGAATACTCGTTCTGAAGCCTTGATTCTATAGCTTCGGAAACCAGAAGCTGAGGGGTTGGATAGAAAGTGTCTGCTCTGTGGAGACGAGAGCAGAGTCGCTGGCGACGGAGTGCGAGGCTTTACGGTTGTGACCCTTTTCCGAGAGATCGTGGTGCATCTGGTCGTCTGCATGGGGACCCTGTGCGCCTGTGGCCGTGGCCCGGCTCGCTGTCCATGAGGGAGGGCAAGCTGAAAATGTCGAAGTGCACAGTCCTGGGGCACATTTAAAATGACAGTATTTCAGGCAGTTTAACAACTTACAGATGAATCTGTGTCCCCTGCCACCGATAACTGCTAACGAGGTTTACACTTTTGAGTCTGCTGGCAAGGCCGGTGGGTTTTCAGCAGGCGCCCGGCCCCGGTGCCGGAGGAAGAGGCCGGAACATAGCACGTTTGTGGGGCCGTTGTCGCTTGGCTTACGGTTTTTATTTTTACTTATTTTTTTAAAGGGGTGCCTGGGTGGCTCAGTTGGTTAAGCGTCTGACTTCAGCTCAGGTCATGATCTCACGGTTCATGAGTTCGGGCCCCGCGTTGGGCTCTGTGCCGACAGCTTAGAGCCTGGAGCCTGCTTTGGATTCTGTGTCTCCCTCTCTCTCTGACCCTCTCCTGCTCATGCTGTCTCTCTCCCTCAGAAATAAATAAAGCACTAAAAACAATTAGAGCCCGACACGGGGCCTGAACCCACAAACCATGAGATCATGACCTGAACCAAAGTCAGACGCTTAAATGACTGAGACACCCAGGCGCCCCTGGCTTATGGTTTTTAAACTGAGGTCTCTGCAAATGCTAACACGTAAAGTGACTGTGTCAGCGTCGTCTCCCTTGATCATTTCGGATGCCAGAGGTTTGTCTCTAATACAGATTTTTTCACTAGAAAATGCATCTTAAAAAACAGGCACCTGCTACCAAAGCGTTTGGCCTGCGTGGAAAGTGGTGGCTTCTCGGCCACATGTTGTCACTATGGCTTTGCCAAGGGGCCCGGGAGCTTTTTTTTGTTACTTCGAGCCTCCATGCAGCAAGGACAGTAGAGTACTTGATATGTTGAGTTTGCGACCCTCAGGAGGTGAGGCCCCGCCCCCTCGGGAGGTGAGGCCCCGCCCCTCGGAGGTGAGGCTCCTTGACTTGGTGCACAGTTGTCAGGAGTCACTGGAGGTTTGGCCACGGCAGACACACACCGTTCTGGAATGTGACTTGTGTGCGATACAACCTAACGTCACAGGGCCCCTGGCGTTGACTAGATTTCATAGGCTGTCTGGGGCAGGGGTGCGGGGGTGGGGTGCTGGCACTTGGCTGTCCCCGAGTGGCCAGGGCCAGGGCGTCACTGGCACCAGCCTGGGTGTGGCCTGTGCTCAGGAGGAGGCAGCGGAGAAGCGGGCCAGGTCCCCCTGGGACACCACGGCACTTTGCCACGCCAGGCTGCCACTTCCCTGCATGGGTGGAAGGGAAGTGCGGGGGCCCAGACGGCTCTTCACAGGCGGAGTGCTCCCGGAGGGTGGCGGCCGCGGGCGAGTGCTGGTGCTGAGAGCCGGTGTGGCTGCAGGCAGGGGCCCCTAAGGAGTGGCTCCTGGGCTTTCTTGGCCACCGTGTCCCCTTTGGAGCCCAGGAGGCTCCCCAAACCCAGCCAGCCCACTGGGCAGCCCTGGCCACAGGCTTCCTCTTGGGACACTGGCTCTTAGGGAGAGAGTGCTCCCCGGCAGAGATGGTGACTCACCGGCTTCCTCAGCCCTGCGTACACACGAGCACGGGGCACGGACGCGCTGATAAAGTCCGCGTTCCGAAGCACCAGTAGCCCTTCTGGCCACCCTCGCGTCCCGAGGGGCGGGCCAGGCCAGGTGGCAAGGAGAGTTCAGTCAGCACAGAGCTCCTGGGGTCCTGGTTTCTCCCATCTCAGCACCCGGACTCTCAGACCCCTTCCACGGGCCTTTCTCAGGTCTACGGCGCAGAGATTGCTCCCAGATCAGAGCGTGTAGCCAGACACCAGGCACACGGGTGGTGTTCCCTCCATCCATGTTGCTTTGGGCCTTACTGTCTTCTGCATTCACGGCGGGAGGGTTTTGCAAAGTAAAAACTGCGTTTTTTGTGTGTCCTGCTGCGAGTTTACTGGACGCTCAGCCCTTCCCTGGCCATGCAGCTCCATCGCCCCTCTGAGAACCAAACGGTCCCGTGTCAGACGGTCGGTGAAGGCCGCGTGGTGTCTGCAGTGGCGACGACACAGACACGGTCCTTCCTTCCTTGCTGTGCACGTGCTTGGCTGGTCTGCAACAGTGTTTATCCTGCCAGAGTAGCTCGAAAATGTCAGGCAAGAATACGTGCTAGTGAAATGGATTTATTTTTATAATATGTAATAACTGTCAGTACCCAGCCATATAAACAGAATCAACCACTCGCAGAGGTTTTTTGGAAGACTGAACAGATCAGTGAAGATAAATGTTAAGCCCCAGCTCCAAATACAGATTTCCCTGGAGATGGGTGCTGGCTGACATTTGTTTTGCGCTGAGCAATTTTTCACTGTCTCAGGCTTCTCTGGAAAGGACTGCGGGTTGGCTACAGATGAGCCCCTGCACACGGGGGTCAGATTGGACTGTGCGTTCTGTAGGATTGGCCCAGCACACGGATTGTTTCAGAAAACTGCTTGTCATTGGGGAGGGGTTCGGGGACACTTGTGACACCACTGGGTGAGTACAACGGGTGGGGTGGAGGAGTCTGTGTTCTCTGAGCAGTGGGGAGCTCTGACTGACCAGCTCTCTTCCCTCCTGGGGATCAGGAGACAGCAACACTGACAGCAGCGAAGTGCCCAGAACGCGGGGTTGGTTTGACCGGAAGGTCCTGGCCTGGCCACTGGCCTCGGTGCCCAGCAGCTACATGCTTTGCAGGAGGAGGAGGAGCTGAGTGGAGACGGTCGTCTGAAGAGCCATGGTGGCTCTGGTCAGAGGGACAGACAGCCCATGAGACGGCAGTGCCCTCGGGATGCCAGGTGCACGGACGAGGGGCTCCCCCAGGCGCTGCCGTGCTGGGTGAGGGGCCATGGAGCACTCGGTGCTGCTGGAGCCAGGCCCTAAAACAGCAAACAAATAGCAAAACTAGACGTTTCTCCAAAGACGCACAAGTGGCCAGTAAGCCTGTGGGAACACACTCAATGTCGCTCGTCTTGTGGGAAATGCAAATCACAGCTACACTGAGGTACCCGTTGCGATAGCAGCTGTCGAAAACAAGCAAAACCCGAGTGTTGGCGGGGACGTGGAGAAATCGGAACCCTCGTGCACTGTCGGTGGGAACGGGAGCGGGGCAGCTGCTGTGGAAGACGGTTATGATGGCTCCTCAAAAAAATTAAAAATAGAATTACCGGACGGTCCAGTAACTCCTCTGCGGTTATAGCCCCAAGACTGGAAGCAAGGTCTGGGAGCGAGATCTGTACGTTCACGTTGACAGCAGCGCGGCGCACCGTCGCTCAAGCTGCGAGCAGCCCCCGCGGCCCCCGGTGGTCGGACGGCGCAGCAAGACGACGTCTGCAGGGGCGAAGGGCTGTTTTCCACCTTAAAAAGGAGGGAGCTTGGCGCCTGCTGCCACACGGGTGAACCTTGAGGCTGTTGTGCTCACTGCAACCAGCCAATCACAGGAAGATGAATACTGTCTGATTCCACTGATCGCATTAGGCACCCGGAGTCGTCAAAATGCTGGAGGCAGTGGGGTGGTGGCTGCTGGGGGACACAGGGGATGGGCAGTTGGCGTTTCGGGAGGCGACAGGCTCTGGAGGTGGACGGTGGTGAGATATAACAACCCCACGGATGTACTTACCACCACTGAACAGCACACTCAGAAACGGCTAAGGGTAGATTTTGTGTCCCGTGTATGTTATCACAATAAAACATGACTGGAGAAAAGTTACCCGAGGCTGCCGGGAGTTAGGGAAGAGGGAAGGGTGGCCAGGAGGGCGCGGGGCGTTTCTGGGCACTGAGATGGTACCTGCCGGCCGCGTGCACTGAGATGGGCTCTTGGCGACGCCGCGTGTCCGTGGGGCCACAGGCTGTCACAGGGCGCCCTCTGCAGGGTGTTCATGGTGAGGAGGCTGCGTGTATGTGGAGAGTGATGAGCTCCATTCCGCTGTGAATCTACGATTGCTCTGAAAAAGAACGCATCATTAAAAGGAAAGAAATAACCCACTTGCCAAACCACGTTCTCCGGCGACACTGAAGTATCACCGCGCTGTCCTGCGCTCCGGTGGTTCTGATCCGTGTGTTTGGACCGGACTCTCAGAAGTAACGGTGTGGCCCTCTTCCTGGGCGTCTTGCCAGCCAGACCCTCTCTGGTGACGCGTCTGGGCACGTCCTGCCCCCTCTCTAGCTGCTGCGCCCCAGGCCCCGCGCCCTGCCTGCTGCCCGGCGCAGGAGGGGCCCCAGGGGCTAGCAGGGTGCCCCCCCAGGGCCGTCTCCCACAGCCCCCCCCCCCGGGGCCTGGGCCACACCTGTTTCTGATTCACGAGTCACGGGGCGGGCCCCAGACTCGACCCCCTGCTTGAGGAGACGCTCGGGTCAGTGCCCTTCGAGGCCACGTGCTTGCAGGGTCTGGAAAGTCATCTCCCTGCAGCTCCTCCGGCGGCTCTGTAACCGTTCCTGACTGCACGAGGGCCGCCTGCCCGCCAGCCCGTCTTTGGGGGCGGCCGACCGGACCTTCCATCGTGCCTTTTCTGGCTTCCCCAGAGCTCTGCGAGGGCGGTCACGGTCACAGGCTTGCGGCCACGCCCCTCTCCCCCGTGGTCTCAGGAATCAAGGGCCCGGTGGAGCTGGTGTGGGGGTCTTATTTGTTGGGATTCACCCTACTCAAAATGAAATGAAGGAAAGTAAAGATATTTAACTAATAAAAAAATAACGAACTCATCACTTATTAAATGACAATTTTTAATAAAAAACAGCTATATTTTCCAAAAACGAAACAAAATCGGTGTCTTCAGATCTCAAGACAACGGA